GGTCTATAATGTAATATTTATTTTATCTCTTCATAAAACTGGAAATAAAATAGTCTGATGTACTGGTGAAAATACACCAGGAGTCCATTTCAACTGAATCACAAACAGTAAGCAAGACCCTCAGAAACAGCTGACAACTATTGAACCGACTAATATAACAATTTTTTTCCTAATCTGAAATATATGTTGACCTGCTAATTATCGGTTTTTCTTTTTCTGACCCTGCTGACATAATCACAAAATTGGGCATTTTAATCTATTTTCTTCACACATTTGCTTTCTTGTTGAAAACGTTTAGAGAATTTGGACCTTGTACATCTTATTTTCGGGGGAAATATTATGTACTTAAAATGAAAGCTTTTTCTGGAATTTCTAAATTCAGACCGAACGACACTTTATGAATACGTGAGCTAAACGGAAGTTCAGTGACCAGATCTGTTTTCTGAAATCTTTATATCTAGTCTTTTGGTTACATTATTCTTTGTATTCATCATGCACAGATTCAATATGATATAGTATTTTAATTTTTACTTTTCATTTTGTAATTAATTCATACAAAATAGTATAAAAACTTTTAGCTGAGCTTATTAGAAATAATACTAAACAAACAAATGGCCAAATCTTTTGTTGTTGTTGTTTCAATATATATTTTGTATTGGTATCTTCGCCATGATAATTTCGTGGTACTTTTATAACTTTATTTTATAAAATTGACGTTAAGTTTGAATTTTGCGCAAAGCTACACATGGGATATCAGCACTAGCCGTTCCTAGTTTAATAGTGTAAGACTAGAGGGAAGGCAGCTAGTCATTACCACCCACCACCCTCTCTTGGGCTACTCCTGTAACAATGAATAGTGGGATTGACCGTCACATTATAACGCCTCCACGGCTGAAAGGGCGAGCATGTTTGGTGGGAAGGTGATTCGAACCCGCGCCCCTCAGATTGCGAGTCCAGCGCTCTAACCACCTGGCTATGCCGAGCCATTGATGTTAAGAATACAGTTTTATAATCAGAAAACATTCTCTTCCAATAGCAAACAATATGAAACGAACAAATAAAAGAACACCCTAATGTATCTTATTCTACCACATATTACATATTCAAGAAATGAGGAAACGTATTACGTAACTGATATAATATAATTAATGGTTAGCGTGTGGGAGTGCGAATCATAATGTACAGAGTTTGAAAACTTATGTCGCCCAATACCTCTGCATTTTCAGAAAAGGAAAGGTTACAAAAGCTGTCCCCACTGCGAGTATTGAAACCCAATTTTTAACATTATAAGCCTTCAGACAAACATCTCAGCCATTGGGGCAACAAAAAAGTACCGGCGATTTAAATCATGGAATATTAAACAGACTCGATTGCTGTGAAAGAATTACAACTTGAAAATAATTGTAAAGTTTGACTATAATTATATTTTTTTAATGAACTCCTGTAGGAAGTGGTATTTTAATAGCATATTGAAATAAAAATAAATATTTTGTTTCTTAACAAAGACTAACATTTAGATCATAAGTCTTTCTAAACTGTTTATATGTTTGTGCGCTTTTCCCTCTTGGTCGTGAAATAACTTTATGCGGCTGCGCATTACCGGTAGGATCACACTGTAGCCCAAAATTGTGCTTCCCATAAACATCTGATATTGTGATGAAAAGCTCTCAATAATTCTTATAATATTCTATATTTTTGTGTTTTACATAGTTTTAGATGTTTGGTTATAACGTTGCCCATTAAACTACTTCAAATAATATTAGTATAATTTTGTGTTATTACTAGCTTTGTACACTTTCTACGTAAGTCAAGGTAAGGCAAACTTGTTGGTTTTTTTTTTCTTTTTTGTTAGCAAATATTAATCGATTACAATGATTGCAGGGCAGAAGAATTACCTAATCGACCACTATCTTGACAATATGTAACAGAATCTATGTTCAAGACTCACCGTAGCCATGAGAAGAGCGACATAGCCCAGACACACTATGTTCATTCATCTTCTGTTTGGAAACAAAAGCAAAGTTGGAAACATGCGCGGAATTTGTGGACAGAGAATACCCTCTATTACTTTGCCGCAGTTCAATAAGCCATTGTCACTCTATCCAGTCATAAAACAGAAAGTTAAGCCTAGATGTGTTATAGTTTGACTGATGAGTTTGTTTGATGTCAATCCTAGCTTTTAATTAAATTGGGACTGTGCCCCAAACATTTTTCCACACCCTAAACAACAACGTATCATTCTGAAATTTCATAATATATTTAAAAAACCTTATTAATTAGTGTTTTTGGTGCTAGCTTCTCTATCTACAATTACTGGTATTCCAAAGTATTTGAATTAAAGTTCCTTACATCCAGTTCAAAGTAAACAAACTGTAAACATTGCATTTATAAATGACTTCATTTTTTTTCTCTTTTTTGTTTTTTAGCTCAAAGTTACACAATGAGCGATCTGCCCTCTGTCCAATGAACAGAATCGAGCCCCGGATTTTGGTTTTGTAAGCCAGTAGACATCTTTGACCCACTGGAGGATTTAGTAAATGAAAAGCTACTTTAATTAATTATTTGTCATGAAATGAAATGGGTATTGTTTCTAATATTTGGATTTTTATTATTTTTTACGTTTACAGATGGTGTGTTTTGTCATCTCTATATATATTTTGTGATATTTTACGATCAAAATAATACTGAAAATTTGGAATAATATATTCATAATAGATTTATTAATAACGGCAAAATATGTTTGTGTGTTAAGAGACCAAAAACAAAAAATCTCGAAACATCATCTTAAAGTTTCTCATTATAGAAATGGATCATAGTTAAAAGTCAATGTGTTAGCTGAATTGGTAAAATATTTTTTCTTTAGAAACTACATAACGTATAGAAAATGTTACACGCATAAAAGTCAGTTGTTAGTTTTCTAGTAAAGTATATATTGTAGACTCTAATTATACAGGTATTTTGCTAGTGTTTTTTACTCAAATTATTGAGTAGGTTTTTTTTCTAATAAAGTATATAAAGTAGACTAATTATACAAGTACTTGGTTGTGTTTTTTACTCAAATTATTAATTTAGTTGTTTGTTTTCTAGTAAAGTATATAAAGTAGACTCTAATTATATAAGTACTTGGTTGTGTTTTTTACTCAAATTATTAAGTCAGTTTTTTGTTTTCTAGTAAATTATATAAAGTAGACTCTAATTATACAAGTACTTGGTTGTGTTTTTTACTCAAATTATGAATTCAGTTGTTTGTTTTCTAGTAAAGTATATAAAGTAGACTCTAATTATACAAGTACTTAGTTGAGTTTTTTACA